CCACCCACTCCCGAGTCTCCACAGTCCACTTCCTCCTTTCTAAGTAGGGTTCGGGGCTGGGCCCCTCACAGAGGGGCCCCTCGCTCAGGCTCTGGCAACAGCGCATCTGGTAAATGGCATCCTCACTAGCTCAGTGACGCGATGTTACTTCACGTGGTCCGTGAAGCACCCGCTACCAAGCCGTTGCTTTGCAGGCAGGTCTCTCAAAGCCCTCTTTGGAAACAGCGCACCGACTCCCCGGGAATCTCTGCAGCACCCGAGGCCATGAAAATGAAGGGTGGCTTGCGCGGCAGACTCCTGAAACACCTCGGTAATGTGGGACCCACCACTCAGAGATGCGCTGGACAGAAAAAGCTCCTGCCAGGGGCAGAAGGCCCGGTCACTGGGTCCACTCTCTCAGGCTATGGGCAGGGACACCGCTCCATGCTCCAGCATGGCCCTGCCATGGTCATGGTCTGAGATGGCGTGTGACAGGCACCTCCCTGCACGACTCACACGGCGGTTGACGAATTGTAACGGAAACGCATTCTTCATACGCTCTTTGATGCACACCTTCTTTGTTCCTTCCTTCCTTTTTAAAATAAGTACCTTCTGGAGCTTTTCGAATGGCAGGTCAGCAATCAAACTGCAAGTTTTCGTGGTATCCTGGTATGATGTATTAAAGTCTGTCCCCCGAAATAGTATTGTAAACCCTGGACTCGGTGCCTGTGGTATAACCCCTTCTTTAAATGGGCTGCTACTGTTAACATTAATGGGCAGTACGGCGTGCATCGTATCAAAAATCCTCCCTGCCATGGAATCGATGCTGACCCATGATGACCCCGGTGGGTTTCCGAGACTGTAACTATTGATGGGAGTGGAAAGCCGAGTCTTTCTCCCTCAAAGCTGCTGCTGGTTTCGAACTGCCAACCACGGGGATTGCAGCCCAATGCGTAACCTAGACTACACCACCAGGGCTCCTTCTGAGATACGAAAGAGATTAAGTGAGCAGAGATGGGTACAACACATGCCAAGACATGTGGATCCCCAGGAGCTGAGGCTCAGAAGAGACTGGACCTTCCTCGAGAGCTGCCGTTAACCCACAGGAAACCTAGGGACAGAGTGAGACTGTCCCCAATAGCTTCTAGTTCTGGAAGCCTTTATAGAAGCAGACTACCACCTTTTCCTGTGGAGCGGCTGGTGGCTTCAAACCTCTGACCTTCCTGTGAGCAGCTGAGCACTTTAGCCACTGGGCCACCAGGTCTCCATCCTCATCTATGAAATCACTGCCTTAAAGTGTGTTCTGACTCACAGTGCCCCTACAGGACACACTAGGGCTACTCCGTAAGTTGTCAAAGCTCTAAATGTTTATGGAAGCAGCATGCCTCTCTCATCTTTTCCTTGAACACTGGCTAGTGGGTTCAAACCAGTAACTTTTGAGCTAGCAGCCACTACCTCACCAGGGCTCCCCTCACCTGCAAAACAGGATGTCAATAGAGTGACATCTTGGTACCCTGGAAAGCAAGGCCCCTCTGTGAGCCTCACCGACGCACTCCACCAGCAGGCTCTTCCCGTTCTCTTAGCGTCTGCTCTCTTTCAGGTGGAGTGATGACCTGCACACCCAGCGCCGTGCCCTGGACACCCACACCACAGTGTGGCCGAGCCTGAGTTTACGAGAGGCTGTATCTTTTAGTCCCTCTGAGACAAGCTGAAGTCACCCTTAGGTTAAAGAACCTACCAAACAACTAAATGGTGCTCCTGCATCCCCGGTGGAGCACCCTGCCCACCAAAGCTATGAGGATGAGCCTGGGACACTCGGAATTTGAGACTCATGATGCCCCGGGCTATAGGCATTCCGTACATACAACCTTCAAGGCGAAACAACACAAACTCATTCTAGAGGGGCCGGCACCGTCCACTGCCTTTGAGCTGTTTCTCATGTCCGTAAGTTGCGGAAAATGGAAGGGTAGAGCACACGACTGACGTCCGTGCACGCAGAAAGACATTCTCTCTGCCGGAGGCACAAGGACGACCATCCTCTGCTGAGTGATGGGACTGACATCGATTTGCAAACCTCGCTCAGCATCTCAGACGCCTGTACGTCTGCCTGCCTGCTCTCTGGATTTTCCCAGGGACCAGCTGGGACCTGCTATGGGGACCTTGGCTCCGTGAAAAGTTGACCGACTTGAATAATGGGGACTAGGAAGGAATGCGGTGAAGAACGGCGCCCCGACACATCTGAAAGCCTGTGCCACTCTGAGAGGGAGCCCAGCCTCATACTTCAAATTCAGGTGGCGTTTCTCGAGGCCGGCACACCCCACGTCCAGTCCATGCTCATGTGTGTGCCATACGACAGTAGCCAGCGTCACTTCCAATTCCCTTCCCCCTTGCAAAAAGGATGTGTTCGCCTCCCCGGTAAGAAGATGTGCCTTTGTGACTCCGCTCCCTGCCCTGCAGCATTCAGTGTCTGGCTACCTAACTCAGACTGAGGGCAGCAGCAGGAGCTCTCTGGGGCACCTTGGACTCTGACTCGAAGCCCAGAGCAACAACACCTGGCCAGAGGACTCCAACCCGAGGGGTCGGCTGCAGAGTTCACACGCACCACCCCTAGCGAGGTGACCATACCTCATCCGGAAAGCCTTTCCCACCGTCCCGTTTCGAACACCTGTTGCCTACAAACCCAATTCCGAGGACCTCACCTGTGGTGGTGGTGGTTCTGACCCCAGCGACCTGTGCACCGTAGAATGGTGCCTGCTCCTGCACCAGCCGCACAGCTATGGCCGTGTTTGAGCCGGGGCTGCAGCCCCTGGGCCCGTCCATCTCACCGAGGGCCTGCCTCTTTGTCATTGCCGCGCCACTTTACCAAGCGCTGTGTCCTCTCCCAAGGATGCAAGACGAAACCTTGCCATGCTTGCCTCTAGGCAGCATTCTTGCAAGTGCTTCTCAGGTATGTGGGCTTCATTCCCAGAACGGTCCACCTCCTTGCATGAATAAGCATAATGTCCTTTATGCCCACACGTCCCTAAAAGCCTGTCCTGTTCCCTTGTTTAGGAATGGGCTCTTCGCTGCCTCCATCCCCCGCCATCGTCACCGTCCCCTGGCAGCCTCCCGATGCAAGGTAATTCTCTCTCGAATAAGCCTCTTTGCCTGGGTGGTAAGCTTGACTCCCCTGTTCCATGGGAAGCGTATTTTAACAATACCCATAACTAAAGAAGAAATGAACACGTTATTAAAACATTCCCCATCCCAAAAAAGCTCTGGCTTAGACATCTTCCCAGGTGAATTCTACCAAACAAGGAGAGAAGAGCAGACGCCAAGTCTACTCAAACGATTCCATTGTGGAGAAGGATGGAATCCTCTTGGATTTGGTTTATCAATACCAACACCAGGCAAATACGTCATTAAAAGAAAGAAAACCGTATACTAAACATTCCTACCCAAATCCTACCCAATAGTATCCAACATCAAATTGAAAACAGTAACACATCATGATCAAGCGGATTCAGACCAGCTTGTGCAGACCAGTCCAACATTATGAACACAGCACGGTCCACCACACAGACGAACATGGGGAAGAGTCACAGGACCCTATCAACTGATCCCGGGAAAGGCATGTGACAAAGCCCATTCCTGACAAAACTACTCGACAAAGGAGGAACAGATGGGGGTCTTCCACATTATGAATGGCATCTTCTCAAAATCAATGGACCACATTGGTCTCAACAGTGAGAAGCTGGAGGAAGTCCCCTGGAAAATGAGAACAAAAGAAAGGTGCCCTGGGTACCGCCGTGGGCCAGTTAAGAAAACCCAGCCATAACCAAACACCGGAGGGAACCAGTCCCTGGGCCTGGAGGCTTGAGGCCATGGTCTCAAGGGACACCCAAATCAACGGGCACAGCCTAATCTACAAGGCCAATGCTCCAAATTCTACTTTGATGACTAGTGGCTGGGCCTGAAAAGCTTGTGACGAGCCAGCCAGTCAGAGTGCAGTGTAGCACCGATGAAACACACAACTTTCCTCTGGTTCTTTAATGCTTCCTCCCCCTACTCTCATGACCTTAATTCTACCTTACAAATCAGACTGAACCAGAACATGTACACTGCTACAGATAAGAGCCCTCAACACAGGGAATCCAGGATAGATAAACCCCTCAGGGCCAACAACGAGACTAGAGATACCAGGAGGATACGGGGAAGGTGGGAGGAGAAAGGGAGAATCGATCACAAGGATCAACGTAGAACCCCCTCGCAGGGGCACGAACAACAGAAAAGGGGGTGAGGAGCGACAGAGGATGATGTACGCTATGAAAATAAAAATCACGAGGGAGGGTGGTCGGGGGAGGGAGGAGGAAAACGGAGAAGGGCTCAGGTAGAGGAAGGTGCTTTGAAGATGATGATGCAGCAATATGTAAAGGTGTGCTTGGCACAATGGATGAAGGTGTGGATTGCGATGGGAGATGTAAGAGCCCCCAGTGAAAGTATTTAATAATGAAGAAACCAAACTCATGCTTGGCCAGTCTAAGGGCAAGGACTGCTCTCTCCCTGTCCGGAGCAAAGAGGAGTGAAGGACACAGACACATGGACGTACTGGCCCAATGGCGCAAGGGCTGCACGACCCTCCCATGCCACAACTCTGAGACGGCACCTAGAAGGCGTCCAGCTACCACTGCCTACTGCTCGACAGGGGCTCACATTAGGGTCCTGCATAGGATGAGGGGGAGATGTTGGACACAACTCCAAGTTGTAAAAAAGAAAAGAAAAGAAGCAACAGCTGCAAACCTTCTATGAGCCTCTGTTTACAATCAGGTCAAAAGCCTCTCTATCGCGGCCTTCCCAGTAGAAAGAGTGATTGGATTGCTCTTGTAAGTTGCTCTCCTCTCACGCACAACTCAAGAGCCCTACGCAATGGATGGACGCATGTGAGGAGGGCGCTCAGCTCATTGGTCCGTGTGTCTCTGTCTGTGAGCAGGCGTGTTACACGGCACACTCTCTGCACAGCTAGCTACCTGACATGCCGGCAGCGCGTGCACACATAGCAATGCTCTGTGACCCGAACGTTCTTGAGATATCATACATCATAATAAAAATCCACCCTTTCATGGGAAAATTTTAAAATACCAAGGTTTACTGGTCCCAGGGAGACTGGTGGAATCCCTGAAGCTCCTGGTGGAATCCTCACTCGCCCAACAGACTGGGAATAGAACTCACCCCCTCGGCCAACTTTCAGCCAACCCACCGAGAAATCTCGGAGGCAGCCCAGTCACCCCTTAGCGCAATCAAGCGTCCGAGCTCAAAGAGGCAGCATCTGCCTGAGGAACGTGTGCAGAAGGCAGGAAGGGTCACGGAAGGAGGAACTGGCAGGGGAAGCAGGCGGAAGTGAGCGACATCATCTTCCATCGTGGGGCATCAATCAACAACTCATAGAACACTGAAACTTCATTTATCTCACAATAGAAAGGTTACAAAAAGGTGGAGACAAATAAAATCCAATCATTCTTAGGAGGGTTGGTGGCACGTGAAGAACACACTCGGCATCTAAAATATTTCACATGTCTGTGGTTCTTCAGAACGTCCAGAACAACTCCAGACCCATGATTTCACGTTTCCTACCCTACCCTGCCCCAGGGCTTCCATGCGAGAGAGTGGTCCCAGAGACGGCTGTGGACCGCCTAGCAGAGCCCCGCCATGTGCAGCGTAACTGACTTACGAGAGTCAGCCTAGCGTGTGCCACATTCTCCCTGGCTCCGGGCTTGGTCTCTTTGGCATGTTTATAACTCTCTGTAGGGTCCGGAGGCCAACATGCTAGGTGCATGGATGAAAATATTTTAAAAATGAACCCTGTGCCGGGATGACCGCCGGTGGCTCACATACCTGTGATCTTTCCTTGCCTGATTTTCTGCACCTTGTAGCGAACGGAGGTCCCCGCCAACAGGTAGACATCATAGGCTGGGTTCAGAAGAATGTTCTCCAAAATCAACAGCCTGACCTCTGCGGGGCGGACATCCTTGGCACGATGAAGCAGGCAGAGAAGGCATCAGGGCAAGAGAAGAGAAGAACATTTGAAAACCCTTCAGCATGTCTGTACGGGGACAGGAGAGCTACGAATGACAATATCCTTCTTGGGATGACTGGGTCATTGAAGTGTGTGATATGTCAAGGAGGGATCACTTGAGGGGGTTAAATAAAAACGCAGAAAAGACACGTGGAGAATCAAACGTCACACCTTCCGACCCTAGAAATCCCCAGGGGACTGTGCACAGGCAGCATGAGCTCTGAGGTCCGTTTACCGCATGTCGAGCTCAGTGTAAAATAACGGCAATTACAAGTCAAGACGAGAGGAGCTCGGAGAGATTGATCTGGGGCCACCGGGGGCTCAGATTCCCCCCCTGCAAAGGCCCCAGAGTCCAGGTGCTTGGAGGGCCCCCAGGTAAACCTGAGTGGGTGTGGAAGTGTGTGTCCTTGGTCTTGTCTGTCTACCTCACATCCCTACCCATGATCCTCATCAGGGAAAACTTTGGAAGTACGAAAGACTCCTGGGTATCCAATCTATGGGCGCCTGTGGGATGTCTGGTTCTAAGGGAGGCCTCTCCTTGTCTGTAAGTCGGAGTGGACAAAAGGTCACCAAACTATTCTTGTCCATACCAAGGCAAAGATGTCTTTGGCCAGGTTTGCATGTACGTATAAAATACATGACAGCGTTACCGATGCCTGTTTACTCGTCCGCAGCTTCATTAGAGTCCTCTGAACTGTTTCCATGAGAAAACTCTCATGAAGTAATAAATATGGCATTAGGCTTATAAAAAAAAGTTAAAATTGGAGCGCACTAACATTGGCTGTTTGAGGCAAGTGCGTCCCAGCCTGGGCAAGCGGAAACCCAAAACGAAGCCAGTGTCCAGGGAGTCTACTCCAACTCTCGGGGACACGACACCACGGGTGCTGAGACAAACTGCGCTCCGTGACGGCTTCCAATAGCAGTGGTTCTCGTGGGGGCAGGCCACTAGGCCTTTCTTCCAGAGGAACTCTGGGTGGGTTCAAACCGCCCACCTTCCAGGTAGTTATGAGAGCCTAACCATTTGCACCTCCCAGGGAAGGGAAGCTCTGCAGCTGATGACAGGCAGGGCTCAGAACAACATGCAAGCCCTCACTGTGGGGGGCTGTGTTTGTGGCAATGCCCCCATTCAAAACGGTCCAGCAGCTGCACACACTCCTGATGCAAGGGCGCTCCCCTTCCTTTGTTGCCATGCGTTCAGTTAAAGGCAGAGGCAGCACTACAACCCCCTCTCCTCTTGGCTCCAGGATCTCTGCAGACAGAACGGTCTCTGGCTTCCCGTTCAGAAGGAGGCCTGGCCAAGCATCTGCCCTCAAGAGCAGGGAGGACACCAGGGGCCTGGATGGATGCTGACCACGAAGCAGGCTCTGCTGGTCCAGGGCAATGTGGAACACGTGGGGCGGGGCACTAGCTTTCTACACACGGGGTCATTGAACAACCAGTCCCGGCCACACAGTGGGAAGCAGACAGCATGGAGGACACCCTGGAGTCTCCGAGAATTTCAGAGCCCCGCATACTCCGGCAAAGACACCTGTATCAGATGAATCAGTTACAGAGCTCCTCTCTTCAGGGCTGTTTTATTGCACCTGCCTCTCCACTGAGAAAGGAGGAAACGCTTTGTGGTTCTGGGGGCGGTGGGCTCCGGTGCTTGACCCCCTCTCTGTCAGCAGGGCCCAAAGGACTGACCAGCCAAACCAGAACATGGCATCGTGCCCGAGTTCCCACTTCATGAGTGTGGGGGGAGGTCAGATGCACAGGCATTCCCTCCCCTGAGGGCAATCAGTTGCCAGACTGCTGTCTCATCCCTCCACAGGGGTGGGCCTGCTCCCTGCCTCTGAGGACAATGGACAGGCTCCTGTAGGAGGAGTTTTCCCCCTACTGATAATGGTTCCTATGGAGACCCAGAGACCACCCCCTCATTGCTGTGTAACCTATAGTGCAGCTCCTCCCTGTGGCGTATGTCTCTACCTGTAATTAGTGGGCTGGCTTGCCCCCAAAAGGTATATAGGCGTGAGTCAGCAATATAGAGCCCTCTGACTCTTTGATCTCTCTGGCCTCTCTGGCTCCTGTCCTCTCCTCCCCTTCTCCCTTGTTCCCTTGCCCTCCTTCCCTTACCCCTCTCCACGTGGACCACCAAGCTGGGCTGAGGTGAGCAATGCTACCATGTAATATGTCTGACTACATTATTGTATTATCTGTCATGCTCTCGATGACTCTAATATAATACTTATATATCTCAACCGTACAATTGTGCATTACTGAACCCAGAAGTAGTATTACTGAACCAGTGAGTTCTAGTAGCGGGTGGGGCTGGCACCCCACTCCTCCTCGACATTTTAATTTAATACTACACACGAGCAGTGAGATCTGGACAGAATCTCACTTGCACTTTCGAGTGTGTCCACAGGTGTGAGCAGGAGCAGTCGGCCCCAGTCCCCTAGGAGGTCCACCTCACCAGCCTACCTCCAGGACCCTTCCTGAATGCACCACAGCGCACCTAGCCTTACCTTGTAGACGCCCTCGTGAATGCGTGCCTTCAGTTTGGAACTCCCCGTCCTCATGCCGGACACCAGGATGGTGTCCCCTTGCTTGGCGACCTTCTCCATCTCGGAGATATAGGAAGGAGGGATGTACGTTGATTCCAAGAAAGTGAGGATTCTGGAAAAGAGACAGCCGGAGATTGTCCAGCAGGCCTGATGTGTGCATCAACGACTCTTTCCACCACTTGCCTACACATCCCTCCCACCGTTTGCCAGACACAGAAGCCAAGGCATGGCCCTCGCCCGTGAGGCTCAGGAACGCCCCCCTCTGGCTGCCTACAGCACAGCTGCCAACAGCCTGCTACAGACACTCACTCCGAGCCCCAGCCCGGCCCCAAGCTGGGACTCCACTGTTATCAAATGCTTCTGACCAGTGCTGAAATCTGAGGACCACTTGGTGGGCCAAATGCCTGTTTCACAGATGAAACCAGTGGGGCCCAGGGGTGCGGCACAGCGGGCCAAGGCTGCGCATCATCGTGCCAGTGTCCCCACTAGCCTGACTCCTGCTCTAAGGGATGATGAGAGGCGTCTCGTCGCATCATACTGTGCTGTGTGAGAAAGCAAACCGTGCGTGGGCCCTCCCCCAGAGGGGAGGCTGGAGAGCAGGGCTGGCCTGAGGGGTCTTTTTGACAGTCTTTCCCTGGTGCCGATGCTTTCCGAAGCAGCCCAGCATTTCGCCTGAACAAAAACCAGCGGGACACGGAGAGATTGATCTGGGGCCACCGGGGGCTCAG